TGGCGCGCACTGTACCACAATGAAGCAAACTGAATCCCACCTACCTATACAAATTGAGAGCACTGTTGTCGTCGGGTGGTAGGTTAGTCGAGCGTGGCGCAGTCGAATGGATCTCCACTTGCCAATATTAGCAAGGTTTTGCAACTCATCCTTACCACCATCTTCAAGCATGTATGTCAAAACCGGAAGTCAACCTGTAAGAACAAGTTAAAGATACTGTATAATCCGATACCTTTTCACTGGATTTGCCACATTGTACGGACTGGTGTCTTTATCCTCACACTGTGTTGGCACCAACAACACACTTTTTGAGTGAGCTGATGACTTTGTCCCACAAACGCCGCAACTTCTCCGAGGACGACGACATAATCGCCCTGCGTGAGTCTTCCGAGTTCAGCCAACCCGAAATCGACGCAAAATGCGCATGCAATCGCTTTATGCTGCTCATGGATGCACATCGCAATTACGACAAAGCTTCGGCTCAGGTCTCTGGCGTGGATGAAGACGTCAACGAAAAGATCTTGCTCTTGGACGACTTGTTGGCCGCGTATGACGACGCTAAAAATGCCGGCCAGCGGCGTGCTGATGAAAGTCGTGAGCTTGCAAATCATTCAGAAATCATGGGAAGTCTGATTCGTGCTGAAGCGATGGAATCAATGGGCAAGCGGAAGAGGAAGAATGATGAAGATGAAGGGATACCCTCGGGCGGTAAACTTATGCGTGTCATTACTCTGATGAAAGAACAGGCCAAGGTGGAATTGGATTTTGAAAGGGAACGAATGCAAAATGAAATGGAAGAGAGACGCATCGAGCTCGAAGAAAGACGAATGGAGCGACAGTTGATGGCAGAGTAACTTCGCCAGCAGCAGGATTCGTTGGCATTGTTGATGAGAATGATGATTGAAAGGAACTAAGACCTCAAAACAAAGTTCATTATACGTCAATTATTTGTAGAGAGTCAAGATATTCTCTTAGTGTTGGCGGTTGCAAGTTGAAGAACTAACTGATTTGGTTACCGCCAAAATGGCAGCAATGACAATTTGTAAGAAGCATACCCACAGCGACCACTTTTCCAACCGGGGACAAGCGAATCTTTCCCAATGTCTTAAAAGACCATAAAGATTTGAAAATCTTAAAGTTCCATTCCACTGACTGCATCACTTTGCTCATCCATTTGTTGAACTCCATTTTTTCAGCACTCAAATTGTTTCCCTTAAAACCAGAAATCAAATGCGGAGCAATACCATACGCAGGATCTCCATATAAAACTTGGTCAATAAAAACACTTGGATGCAGACTCATGAATTCAAGCAAGCCACTCAACCGCAAAAGAGTCGTATCATGACGACGCCCTTCCACAGGCCCATAAAAATGCACACAAATTCCGTCAGGGGCAGTAACCGCTTGATAGTTGAGACAATGAATTCGCTTGTGGCCGCTGTAGATTTGCTTCTGCAAATTTTCGCCATCGCCAGTGGACGAAATTCGGCAGGTTTGCACTTTTGTTCCGTCGATGAACTCAAACACGTTTGTCAGTGGCGACCCCTTGGCAGCAACGGCGGCGCAATATCGGTCCATGGTCTTTGCCACAAGCTTCTTGTTGAAGTAGAGGAAGGTGTCCCAGCGAGAGTATTGCTCTTGGATTACGTAGAGAAAGATGTCGCATAGTGCACTCTTGATCGACCAAAAATGGTTGACATGGTGTGGAATCGAACGGGAAAGGCCATACGACCCAGGACGATGCACAAAGCTTCTTCACGATGCACACGGTTGCTACATTCGGTCACAATGATGGCAGATAGGCCCAGAATGTAGCTGAGCTCTTTGATTCCAGCAATATCAAACCGAAAGTCGAGGATCGCGTTGGCGTCGCTTGTTGCATCAAGATTAAACCGGACAGCTGGAATAAGTGGGCGCTCAACATTACACATCGCAACCAATGCCATTGTGCTTTACGCTGATGTGGAGTCCGAGCCAGTGGAAACAACGAAATGAGCTCGTCTTGGGTCAATGTCATTGGGGTCTTCGTGTGGCGCCAAGGTTTACGAAAGCACAATGAGCTCATCCGCATGAATTTTATCCGGAAATATGTAAAGATATGGATGGTGGTGAAGTGCAAATCTCAAACTTGAAGTTCGTATCATTACCCTGCGCGCTGAATTTGTCAAATATGTGGTGACAATGATAATGTAAGGATGACTTGCAAAACCTTTCTATTGAGCAATGAAGGCAGCAGGAATGGAGAGACTTGTGTCGGCACGAACAATAAGAACGGCTCCGA